ACAATTCATACAATTTAGATGAAATGAACTAGTGAAAACATCATAAGGATTATTCAACATTCAATTTCTGCCAATAGATCCCTTTACCTAAATCTTACACACTGGACCTTTAAATATAATTCAGCCTACATAGAAACACGTCAATGTTATTCCAAGTTTGACAGGAAATGCTTGTTTACATGCAGACAATATTATATATCATCCATTTCGCTGGGCTCCACAGAAACAGGTTTTACTGTCTGTAGCTGAACAAGTGTTTGAAAGGATGGAAATGGAAGATAAAGTGTCAGATGTTGATGTAAACACTTTTAGGAATATTAAAATAAGATTTTATCAGTGTAATATCTTGCAAACCACAATGTCCCTAAAGAAATGGGTAAATTAACATATGAAGAACCTCTTTGATTAAAAGTCTCACCATGCCAAACAGAAGAGCCAGGGTCTCATAATCGATCCACTCCACCACAGTAACCAGACTGGGTCGCTTTTGGAGAGACAGAGACAATAATTAACATTTTACAATATTTGAAAAGGATATACTTAGTTTGATTCTCTTAAGTGAGAATCTAATGAGCTCTGGAGTAGCCATAGAGAGAAGAAGAAAATAATTAAAGACATATTGCAAGGTCAGGTTTTATTAAGACACATTCCCATGCTTACATTCATTGTTTGCACTAATTGGAGAATTTGTGGGCACAAGTTAAGTGTATATACAAAGACCAATTGCTCCATAATATCTGGTCAGAAATGGCTGATTTAGGACTGCTCTGATTTTTATATTCTAAAAATTCACCAAGGTGAAGGTCCCATATTTGTTCCTTGAAATACTTGAAAGATCTCAAATTTGAGAAAAGTATAGTAAATGGATAAGATTAGAACCTCTTGGAAGTATTTTTATTTTTCAGCTCACAAAATAATATGAGGATGGGACTTACGTCACCAATTATAGCCAGAGCAGCCAAGGCTGCCAAAGATCCCAACATGGCTGCCAAAGTGCGGTGCACAATCTGAAAAATAAAACAGATTACAAGATCAAAATGTAATGAAAAATATTTAATTATATGATTTTTTTATTGGTGAAAATCATATAATTGTTGCACACATATACAGATCCATTTCAAACAGACATTTCTTTACTAGCTGCTGTTATAGTGGGTCAAAGACTTAAAATTAATGGATAGTTAATGCAGAGTTATGGGGTTTATTCGTCTATTTATTCTACATTTTTTCCTGCATTTTGTTGTATCAAAATAAAACATCATCCCAGTGATTTGCCGGTGGTACCATTTATTAGAAAAGCCTGATGGCAGGTACTGTATCTCAAACTGTAAACTGTATCAAAAAGATGAGTCAAATGAGTCTAGTTGAGGCTTGTTCTGCACTAGGTCTATGATGATGTGTCATTTTCTTCTGAAAAAGAAACAGAACTTGATGTCATTGAGAGTCGCTCTCCTGCACCAGGCTCCATCACTACTCTCATGTTTGATGCCATCTATTATTAAAAATTGAGCCCTGAGATAAGCATGGATGTGTTATCAGAAAGCAGCTCTGCTCCTCTGACATTTATGCCTCCACAAGAAATTACAGGAAAGTAGGTTGTTTTATGTACACTCTGGTGGCAAATGCTGTGGCTGATGAAGACAAGCTTATTAAGGGTAAAAAAAATTATTCATGTTGTGTAAGGAAGCTTTATTGGCAGGCTTTGTCTGCCAAATGAATTGTTACATGTTAATTCTGCCAAAACAGTCATTACCTTGTGAACTACTCAACACTAAACTGGGTCTAGTCGCTCAAGACTTTCATAATCTTCAGTCTGAATTAATTTGTTCAGAAAATGGATAAAGGAGAAAAGAAGCATCCTCTTTTTCTCCCACAGCCTTGTCAATGACAAACTACTTAACTTTAGACATAGAACACTGAAACATCACTGAAGCTCCCATTAAATTAAGAAAATTGGATTCCAATTGATAACGCTAACAGATTCCTTTGTTCGAAAATGAAACTCAAAACATCCTAAACGTGAGTGTGTGTTCACTCGTTAAGAGGCATGAGACAAGTTTAACAAATCTTCAAAAATGGAGACATGATGAAGCTGAAGTCAGGCGACATGTTGCTGATGTCTAAATAGCAACAATAGTAGAATAGTACTGTGTGTTCTCCTACTTTGAGACGATCCTCACGCTTTCTATTACAGTCTCAGAGAGCGGACCTGTCACTAACACAGATTACACATGAGAGTGTGTTTGCAGCGTAGACATGCTGTCATCTCTTGTGACCCTCTGTTGACTCTCACATGATAGTATTGGCCCCTGAGTTTACACCTTGTCACACTCAGGGAGATTAGCCTGTCAAAATTAAAACCACACACTGACGAGAATGAATGAACACTAGAGATGTTTATGCGGGCAGCTCATAGCCCTTAATAAATCAGTGGAGAGTAAGACGCGAGATCTCAATACATCAAAGTAATGAGAGCTAATATGTGGAAAATTAATGATTTCATCTGATATTGAATCAGTCATCAATCTACTGAATCATCAATTAACAACTAATTGACAATCAATCAGGGACTTGTTGCATGTATAGAGAGTCGAGAAAGAAGAAACTTTTCCATTTCTAGTCAATGTGTAATCATTTGCAGTTTTTCAGTTGATGCATTTTTAATACTTTGATCACTTTCACTCAACTTTAATCTTTTTTGAATCATTAGCAAACTATAATAATACTAAAACAAACAACAAACAAAAAATACATGAATTAATTTGCTTGCAAACTAGAACAAATATATACTATATAAATTACTATCTCCAATAATGATGCATCTACATTATTTTATTTTTTATAACAACAGACATTGGTTGACAAATGCCTCCATTAATTCACCTATTTGGCCACCATCATATTTACCATTTAAAAAAACTAGGCATTGGAGATAACATGAGGACATATGAATCTATCTAAAATCAATGAAGAAATATTATTGAATTTTGAAATGATTGCATTATTATATAATTCACATGTGCTGTACTAGAGAAGAAAAGTTTTAAATCACCCCATTTACTAAATAGTATAAAGTAGCACATGTAGCCTTCAAAGTACTATAGGACCCTGAAACCAAAGCATTAAAATTAGATTTCAACCACCTTATATTTATCGAAGCTACATGGCAGAAACTGAACACAAACTCATTCATCATCCGCAGAAAAGTGTGAGCACCTCAGGTCATTTACCTCAAAGATGATAAGAACATAGACCCCAGTTAGGATGATTCCAGCGATGGCCACCTGTGTCTCCACATTGACGTAGAGCGACTGGTGGGTCATGGACAGCGGCACCACCTCATTGTCCTGCAGGAAGGCCTGAATCGTGATGATGATGGGGTCACTGTGTGGGGAAAGAAACAGCACAGCTTGTTATCTCTAATATACAAAATGTTCGGTCATGCAATGTTTGTAACTTTGAAATCGACACACCATTAACACCCTTGTAGTTTCTTCTAAGAAAGACTAAACTTAAAATAATGGCACATCATTGACATTACGCAGCATAAATTCAGCTTTCGCAAGACATTAAATCAAAAAAGTATCAAGCATGGGGACAGAAAAAGTAATATAAGCTAAAATTGAAGGTAAGATCGAGAGATAGGTGTTCCAAAGAGAGGCTGTGTGGATAGACATGCTTCATTCTCTGTCACCAGGGGGCCTCAGTGATGTGTTATTTCATAAACTTTTTGTTGAGCATTTCATACATCCCGTCAATTTAGCAAATTTCAGATCATCTGTGGCAGCCACAAAAGGATTTATATGCAACAAACACATTTATTTTTTATAGAGTATTTGAGTGTAAGTATCTGCTTTATGTGTGCCAATACTATGACAGTCCAATTTATTTATATTGGATTTAGAAGGTATATAATAAGCTTGACTTTAATGCATGAGAAAAATAAAATAAAATATAAATAATCTTCTACTTTTTCTACCCCCGCCCCTTTCCTTCCTAATGAAATAGGCCTTATAGTAGCATGTCGCACAGTGTTCTAGGTACCTGCTGAGCATCTCAAACGTTTTTGTCACCAGCATCTGGTCACTTCGTTCACTGTGTACCGGAATGGTCCAGTTATGAATCACCTGTTTGCACACATGACAACATGATGAACGACTTAGCTTTTCACTGATGATGCAACAAAGACGGGAGACGCCTCACATACCTGCTGAGCTCGCCTCCTCCGTTGTCCCGGCTGCTCTGTCTGCTCCACCTGGATCAGGATGTACTCTTGGCTGGTGAGGTCGATCGTCCCTCTTGCGAAAGGCCCCCCCACCTGGAGCTTCAGCAAAGCGTTGTCCCTGAAATCTGTCAGGTTCATTGCTGTGGGACGCAGGTTGTCAAGATAAAAAAGTGGGTGTGTTTGATACCAGAGGAGAATACTTTTTTCTGGAGCAGATTTTCAGGACTGATTTAAGGCCCCACAACAATAAATAATCTTATAAACTGCACAGTGTTCCTGTCCTTGCTGAATATAACACAAAGATTGACATACACAGTGACACACAAAAGAAGAAACCATTTGTTTGCTACAATTCCTTATTTCAGATTTGCTTCCACTCCCTCTTTTTCCTGCAGCATTCCCTCTGATTACAGCCTGTTGAAGACCCTTGAGAATTGAACACGTGTCTTAAGAAATCTGTCTGAGCTGTTTTTTCTCTCTGCCTATGTATCTCAGCATGCAGCATACTCAAAGAGAAACACAGCTGCATCACGTCCCAGCCCTCTCCTCTTGACTGTGTTGATTGAAGGCCTGCTGGGCCTTTTAGAAACCCATTTTTTTACATAGCATTAAGTACCAATGTGCATCAACAGTAATGCAGCAGGGAAGGATACAGAAACTGTCTGTGGAGGAGACGGCCAACATCCTCCAGGGGTTGTCTCGGTCTGGATACATGCTGAAGAACAGCTGAAACCAGAATTCATTCCATACATTATACATTCAACAGGCAGTTCCTACCAGAGGCATCGAGATGCAGAGGAAAAACTGAATACAGTGCATACAGTTCATTTAACATGTGGAATACAGAAAACCTGGGTGGCTAAAACACAATTAATAATAGTATCTGTGAGAGAGCGCTAATTTACTGCTAAGGATATTCAGGTGTTACAGTGTTCCCCATGAGAGACTTCCTGTTTAGGGTTTCCTGTTTTATTTTGAAAATTACCTTGTTTCTTACTGTTGCTTTACTTCCTTTACAGAAGTGATTCCTGCTCCACTTAAATGTGTTACAATAGTGTCTTGTTAGGTCTGTACGGGTATTGAGTTCATTCTTTGTCACTTCCCCCCGTTCTTATCCTCCTTGTTAACTCATACCTCTGCTCAGGGCACTTGTGTTTCCCTGTGTCTTTTGAGTATGGATTTCCTGTTTTAAGCTTTTTAGCTAATCCACTCCTTAATCCAGTTTTTACGATTTGTCTTTGTGTTAAACTGAGGGATGAGAATATTGATATAACTCTGATATGTGTACAGACTGGTATCAGTCTTATAATATAGAATAAACATGTTTCCCAAAATGTTGATCCAATTTATATTCAGGATTAAAAAAGCAGCAAAGTGACTAAACATAAAAATTCAAAACATCTATAATATTTTAGACCATCCACTTACACTGCAAAGAACGACGATGGTGAACATGGTGGCAATTTTGGAGATTTTGAAACAGCATCTGGAACACAAAATAAATCAAACTGTAAACAAAATAAATATATTGTCAATAGGACTGTGTTCAAGATGACAGTGCACCAGTGTTTCAACCTATGGCAGTGGTCAGGGGTGAACCTGAAATGATTCTCGTCTTTTTCTTGTTGAATGAGGTTTTACCTCAAACAATAATCAAATGAATCCCTCAAGTATTGAAAGTAGGTGGACTTTGCTATGTTTTACGATTTCAATTGAACTGGGGCCCCATCCTTCAAAGGGCCCCGAACTGAGTCACTTTAAAAAAATATGACTATATATATTACTGGAGACAAGCCAGTGCAACACAGAGCAGGATAATTTTCAATATCATATTATAGATATATATCATAGCATATTAAACACAGCAAATTTAACAGATCATTTCTAGCCTAAACTAGACACAGATTGTGGATTTCATTGTACTGAATACTGAATCTTCCTGACACGCTATAACATTTCAGAAAAGGTTGTGTTAAAATGCACATAATGCCCTTAAGTTGAAATATTATTATTATTGATGCAAACCAACTAGAATCCTTGCATTTTTTTCTCATATATTTTTTTCAGGGGCTAGGGCCCCACATTAGCTGTTGAAACAGGCCCCCTGATGATTGTGGCCACCACTACAGAAGTACATATGGTTTTATATATACAGGTTAAAAAGGGGGCCAAATGGTGTGTGAGATTGGTATCTATGAGTTTTCTATGGTAAATTGGGGTGTCTCACTTTATACTACTGGTGAGTCTGAAGTTTATGTTGTCCAGAGGGTCGCTCTTCTCTGAGGAGCTGGAGCGGGACAGGGACAGGCTAGTGACCTCGCTACCCAGTCGATACCTCCTCTCCAGGTCCAGGGAGCTGTTGTCCCAGGGCTCCTCCCCTCCTACAAAGCTGGGGTTATGGAGGGTCATGTAGGTCATACTGGAAGAGAATAATCACGTCAGTTTTCTGATTCAGGGACAGAGACAAACATTACATTGGAATTCAGGACACCAGCTGTGATGGAATATTTTTAACTTAAGATCTGATGATACTGAGCAGTAAAAGCATGTCTGAACAGGACTAGACCCAATCACAATTTCATTACCTGCCTTGTACAACAGTCAATTGAATCAATGTAAGAATGGTTCAAATGTGATGTTACAAGTTGAGCCATTTCATTAAATGACAGCTAGCATGTCATTCTGATTTATGACTCAAACCAAAATGCATCATCTTTTTTCTTCAGTAAAAAAGGAATATTCCAGTCAGACAGCACTAAATAACCTGAATGAAAAGCTGCTGTCTGTAAGCCTTGATGAAGAAGATTAAACAATATATGTAAAATAAATTATGAAATAAGTGACCATGTGAATAATGTGTAAGATTGGTAAAAGAGACAAATAATTATGACATAGAATTATTTGTACTGATCCTGGTCCATTTCTGTTCATTCAGTTACTGTTAGCTCCTAAAACTAGAAAAAAAAATTGTCGCTCAGCACTTTTGTTTGTTTTGTTTTTATTTGAGGAAAAAAGAGCTAAATTAGCCTGATTAGCCTGCTAGCTGCAGCCATTAACACTGACTCTTCCCTTTGTGAACGAGCGCTAATCCAAACTCACAAACCAAACTTGGCAGGTAGCCCACTGGCTGATTAGCATGTAGCCTTATTAAGATCAATATCAGGAGAGTGTCCTGTGTTTATTTGCAGCAGCAGTTTTTAGTAAGTTTATTCAAAATTAGGTTAGAATTCTTGTCATTGTAGTGAAAAGAAGCTACATTTGGTCGTAAGTTGTTTGCATGCTAACTTGCTTAATAGAGGCTATAGGGACAGGCTATTTGCAGGAAGCGAAGTGTGTGGTGACTAATTCTGTGACAATCGTTAATTCATGGAATAATTATCAACAAATGAAGGGCTGTTTATTAATATATCATAATTAGTTTCTTTCATTATGTCTTATTAATTTAATGATGGGCACAGATGTGGAATGTGAGGGAGTGACTCACCTGTCGTCTTGAGAGAACCTCAGCAGAGGAGACCTCTCTGTCAGGTTGGCTGAGTTTGATTTCCCTCTGAGAATATTAACCACGCTGAAGTTATGCCTGGAAAAGAACATGCAATGGAGTACAGTGAGTTAAAAAGAAGAAAAGAAATAAATAGACAGAAAAAAAAGAAAAAAACCCTATGCTTTTCAAAAACTTTCGTGACCTCTGACCCCAATAATGAAGCCTCAGGTGTGGCCTCCTGGCTGCCAGTCAGTGGTTAAAGCCGCCTGTCAGAGGCTTTGTGGCCCACCGGTGGCTGAGAGGTGGGAGAGCAGCTGGTGACTCGACACCCTGAGGCCATCATTAAAGTGCCTTTTAGTCACCATGCTGCTGCTCTGTGTCCCTGAGGCTCCTGCAGGCTGCGCCCTCTGGAGCATCACAGCTGGGTTTCACATGCACACATGTTCTCCTGTCTCTAAAGAGATTAACACATCCACACTAACACTGTATATATATATAAATGTAGAGCTGTATCATACAGTGTATTTCAAACCCCCTAACCCTAGCCCCTTTTATCTAAAAATTTAATTATCATTGTGAATACATTTGTGTTCATTAGTTTTGTGTCACTTGTATTGCTTTATAGTTTTACATGGTTGATCATTCAGTAATTGATAAGACCCTGCTATTGTTGTATTTGTTGTCTTCGAAGTCTTGCAGGTGTTACCAAACGCGCTGCAGACAGTGGGGTGCTTTAAATCAATGGATGTGGCAAGGGTGTTGGATAAAAGAGTAGATTACATTAGGGAAGTCTGCCACATTAATCCTTTTCAATACTCTTATACAACTATAAAGAGATTTGCCGCATGTCTGCAAATGCTTTCTCCTCTCTGACAAGAGTCTGATCCGGTCCCCTGGATGTGACTTGGCAGGGAGATTGCATTTTACAGAGGAGTCTTAAAAGGATACCAAGCCCAGACAGAAGATGAAACACATCTGAAATTAGAAGGGGATTATTTGCAGTGGTCTTTTTAGGACACACAATATGAGGAATATTGACCAAGAAAAAATAGGACAAATCTTTCCAGGACTCATTCGAAATATTTTCTGATATATGGACAACCTCACATAGTATCTTAATTAAGGGCAGCATAAGAACGGAAATAAGCAAATAGAGTTTATTATTAGTGGTAGAAGTAGAATTATTATTACTATAATTATTATCAACAATCTGGATTAACAGATTTTTTGGCCACTTGAGGGCAGCAGAAAACTGTAAACACAAAACTGACATATTTTCACTTATCATTCGAACTATCATGAGTATGTTATCAAACATCATCTGGTAGAATCTATATTTAATGTGACTGTTTTATGATTTCTAATCGTAATTGTAAATAGTAAAGTATTGTCTACCCGCTATTTCTGTGTGCCAAAGGAACTCGACAATCTCATCACCTGATTGTCTACAAATAGTGTTATGTAAAATATAAAATATAAATCAGCCAACTAGGGCCAAGCACTAGACACACAAGTATCAGCTGTTGTACACTCTCTCATATGCAACTTTGACTTAGTTCATGAAGCAAAAAAGATTCAGTTTAATCCCAATGACGTCACAGCCACGGGCTTGAGATTAACACCCCCCTGAGTGCCTGTGATACACCCCCACAGCACGTGTGACTGAGAGTGTGAGAAATTCTGTGTTTTCCACATGTTCATACATTCCCTGGAAGATATGACCAACACAGCACGTGCAATTTGATTCTGCACGTGTGGTTCAGATTCTTTAAACTGTTATGTCTTGACTCAAGGAAACCCCGGTGACAAGAGAGAATGGGACATAATCTCTTGTACAACTATAAACCACGACACCACGTTCACGAGAGCAGTGAGAGTGAACCAGAGCAGTAAAGTCAAGTACTGTACAACCAAAACAATGAGCTTAGAGACGCTAAGACACTCCATGGAGCTAAGTGGAACCACAGAGTTGGGTTTTAATTCCCTATTTGTCCATTGTTAATATAGACATATTGATCTTAATTTTTATAAATTTAGTTTCTTTAATTGGCAGTGAGATCTGCAAGAAATTTAATGAACTCCACACGACAATAATGGTTAAAATAATGAGTATCTCCTTAAATAAATTCAAACCCTTTCTAATAGAATTCATTCATTTTCAACACAATACTGTGTGTGTATAAAGACCACACATATTGTGTTTTATTTGACATAATCACTGTGTTGGAAAATCCAACTCAAATCTTGTGTTTAAACCCTCAATGCAGTAGTTGTTTTAAAAGTAACTCAATATACACTGTCCTTATATGGACAAATTAGTGTGCAGTGATTTTACATGATTTCTGTTGATATTAACACATCTGTTTAGTTTAGTCTCAGTGGTACCATGCTCTGTGTAGCAAGATCAATGTGATTAAGATATTCAACTCACAAAACCAATTTTAGAGTGTAATTTGTGTATGTTATGTAGTATGCAGATAAATATTCCATAGAATGTAACAAGTGATTTTCTATGTGGCTTGAGTGGATCGACCTGAAAGATATCTTAAAATGTTCTTATTGTTGACAAATGCCACTAAATGTGTGGTTGTGTGTTATTGTTTTCCAACAGCCATTAAACCTCCCATCAATAAGCCACACTGTCTCATGATCATTTGATGATGTTTACCCTCATTAACATGGCTACTGTAATGTTACGCCCATTTGAGGAATATCGACATCAATATATTGACAGGTGCACCAACATGATGCATTTATATAACATATCACCGGCCATGTACTTAAAGGGTCTTCCTCCTCTATGAACCTCACTTATTTCTGCTGCCAAATTTCTTCTAGGATCCCACTTGGCTCCTCTTTTGACTCCGCTCACTGACATTTGACTGTAACCATTGAATCATCTCTCTCTCCGATAATAAAAAACGCAACAACAAATAAAGAGCTGTCTTGTCAGTGAACCACCATGAGAGAACAGAAACCAGTAGTCATACCCGTCCTCCTGTCGAACAGGGACAAAGCCCTCAGTATGGATGACGCACTGTCCAGAAGGCAGAACTGCAGACTGCTGGAGCTTCTGGGTTTCTATCCTCTCCGAAATGTCCTGCAGCAGACGGAGCTCCCCGAAGTTCGCTGCAACGGCCTGAGGTGACCTCAGGCTGCTCATGCCCTGATGGCCTTGAGCGGACGTCTGAGACATCTCTATCTCCAGGTTGCTTTTGTTCTCCAAATACATGGTGAGACAGCTGGAGGAGACAGAAATATAATAGACATTAGTAACATCAATACGATTTTTTCCAACCAGTTGGGGGCAGTAACATACTGTATGTTGATTTGACGTTCGGCTTTTATCTCCGTTTTGTTCTCCACACACTCCTGAGGGAAACGTCTGACTCTTTAGCTGCTTAATGCATAGTTATTTTATTATTCTACGTGACAGCAGTGAGAATGAACTGTGAAGCTGTGGGCAATCAGCTGAAAGACTTGACAGCTTTAGAGGAGCTGCAGAGTCGGTTGATAAATCTCTATGTGTTGTTATCACAATGAAAGATGCATTGCAGGTATAAGGGGTCATGTGATTCATTACTGATAGTGGATTTAGGGTTTTGACATTTCAGTTCATTTAAATGACTGAAATTTGGATTGTGTTTTGGTACATTGTCGTCTTTGTCTATAACTTTGTCTACTTCACCTGCAACACAGATTCATAATTTTTCACATCAACTGTATTTCAGCTATTAAAGGTACAGTGTGTAGAATTTTGTGATATCTAGTGTTGAAATTGCATGTTGCAGCTGAACACCCCTCACCTCACCCTCCCCTTCCAAAAGTGAAAAAGAACCTGTGACAGCCTTTAATTGTCATAAAAAATCAGTTACAAGTTACAATTCATACAATTTAGATGAAACTAACCTTCCTACATTAAATATCTGCCAATAGTTTCCTTTAACCTCAATCTTACACACTGGACCTTTAAGCGTTGCACATAGCCTTAAAACAGCTGGATGATTTATGGGCAGACGTTATTTCCTTTACATCACTAACATTCCTCTCCCTGGGCCAAAAACCGCAAACCATAAAGTGACAACTGAACGCTGCACATGTAAATTAAACCCTTGTGGTGTCACAGTAACATGGAGGGAGGTCAACACGCACAATAACAGCTGAGTGATTCTCTGCGATCATAAGGCACAGCATGAGGTCAGTGGATGAGGTCAGCAAACGCAGACATGTGGTCCTCGTCCACACAAAGGCTGCGTGAATTCGATGGGATTATTGCCTCACATGAAAGGCAACAGGAACTCACGTGTGACACGGCGGCTCTCTGCAATAATAACCCTTTGAGGGGGTAAGACTACAGTGCTGTCAAGAGGCGGCACACGGTCCAGTAACTGATCCTTCAAACTATTTGCAGGGGAAAGATCTGTTTGAGCAGCACGTTTTACATTAGGCACATTGTTAAGAACAATTCTACATGGAGCATGATTGATTGTGAAATTGCTTTTTCAACATTCAAGATAACATCAAAGTGCGGACTGCTGTCACTTTGTTTAGTTATGCCTCACATAACACCCTTGTCAAATGCTTGTGATGAGCCTCATATAAGTGAGAAGAATGATCCTTTTTGTATGCGTCCTGCCAGGAGGCTGTGTGTGACGACAAACACAAACTGCTTTCTTAATTTTTCCACCCTCGTTCACAGCAATTTCAACATCTAGATGAAGCTCTATCAAGTGTAACAAGATGCAGGGAAAACAAAAAAAACATAATTAGATGAGGTTAATGACCGCAAGACCGTAAAGGAAGGATTATATGCAGCCAAAGATTAACACAACTTTTTTTATGTCTTTTCATGTTTTTTATCTCAAATAGCAAAAGAAAAAAATACAACGTCTCATGCATTTATCAGATATTTCAATTTATAAACCAATGCAATAAAAGGGGTTTTCACAGAGCTAGTCTACAGCTGCATTAGGAATTCAAACAAAAACCCAGTCAAACAAAGCCCACTAGACTAATAGTAAATCCACACAGAATGCAAAAGAAGTGGAGCAAAAGTCAGGTGCTGACTTAGAAATGAAATTAAAACATTTTTGGTGAGAAAAAATGAGAGGGATGAAAGTGATCACACTTACCTTGACAATAGTTGTTCTATGTGATAATGATAATAAAGATGATGAAGACAAGGACAAAATGATCAAAAAATGTTTGATGTTAAATGATGAACATCCAACAGTGAAATCACAAGAACTTCGCAGCAACAATCCTGTAAAATCCCTGATATGTTCTACTGATGCTGGGATAGTTTCTCTTTTTTTTGTTTTTCAAGTTTATATCTGAGCACAGAGATGTTTTTGGTAGAGACGAGAGAGGTTGAGGTGTTTCTTCTCCTCTCCTGTGCTTCCCAGAGAAGGAGGGAGATGTTCCTGAGCAGTCTGGGTCTGGAGGAGCTGCAGAGGTGGGAGTGTAGCGCTGGGAGGGAGTGGCACAACTCAACTCTCCACTTAAAGCAGATTAAGAGAAAACTTTCCCATTCACTCGCTCACTCTCTCGCCTTTTTTACAACCCAACTCCCCTTGTCGCATAGCTGCCTCCACACCACACCCCTGTGCTCCAAATCCAGCCGTGAAAACAAAGCTTTACGGCTTCTACAACTAAATAAATACAAGATTAAGTCCTGAATTTAGGTAAAATTCATCATTGATGCAGGATTTTTAACCAGATAGTATTGTATAAAAGATTGAATATAACATAGAGATATGTTAACGATAGTCGTCTTAAAGTATTGTGACCCTGTGAAGATGACAGAGGGTTATAGTATTCTTTATTTGCAATTCACATGGTAACATTGTGTCTTTTAATCCTGAAATGTTATCTTTTCTGTGACTTGACATTGATGCTGATTTTTCTGGGAGGGGGAGCTGTCACATATAACCCACTGAGCCTAACTCAGTGTAAAAGGGTGAGTCAACTCCACAGATTTAAGGTGTAGAAAGGTCAGGAAGGTCAGACAGAGAGAGGCTTCAAGGAAAACTTAAAAACTGCAGTTTCAGAGAAGACATTTTTTTGAATCAGTGTTTGCATCTTGCATTATGTCATGTACTGTATAAGATATGCACATTGTACACCTCCATAACTCATGGGCATCTGAGGATCTTTTTTCAGGGACCTTCTCATGTCTCTGAAATTTTAATTCCACAACAATGCTAATGTGAGAGTTTGTTTTACCGGCTGGTTGCATTTGTTCTGCTTAAATCGGTGTAAAAAGCTTTCTAAATGATTTGTGATCTTTGTGCAAATGCAAGTTGGAAGTGGGGGGTGTGTGTGAGTGTGTCTGGGGGAAGGGGAGAGGGTGAGAAGGTTAAGCCAGATTTAGTCACAGGTCAGGTGGTCAGAAAGAAAGTCTAAAAAATCTTGCCTTAATAAACACATTGTCATTGTCCTGAGAGTCAACTCAATGGTACCAGAAATTATTTGTATCCTAACATTAAATGTCATAAAAGGGCTTCGAGTAATAGATGATTACTTCTCAGCTGCCCATCAAATGACCCCAAATTGTAATCAGCAGAGAAAGTTAATGTTTGAACCCAAAATGCTGGAGGCCAAAGAGCATAAGAAAAACCCTGAGCATCTGTCTCCCAATTCAACTCTATTTCTCTTTACACATCAAAAACAGTCACCAGAATAAAACCAGACACTACAACACACACGTACAGACAAAATATTATCTGTACGTTGTTTATCCCAGAAAATATATTTTTTTACTGAACATGGAGCCCAAACACAACTGTGAACTGTTAAATAAAAAATGGATAGATTAATTATATCAAATTTTGGAATTTCGGGTGGTGCTAACAAAATCAAAGAGTGTACCTTAAATTTCATCTCTTAAATAATTTGGCTTTGACCTGACACAGACATAACCTAACAGAGCAGATTAGGATTTTAACATCCTGCCATCCATGAATAAAAACCAGTGACCCATACTAGCAGGATTTAATTTAAATTTTTTAATTTTAATTAGAAACTCCCACCACTAAAACATTTCCCTTATGAAAATTATCTGTCCGGTAAACTGAACACATCCAGCGACAGAAATAGATTTCCATTAACTCTACATCCCAAAGTGATCTTTGCAGCTGAGCAATAGCAGCATTTGCTTCCTTCATTCTGAGAATCGGCAAAGACAATGTTTCCCATTGAGCGGCTGCAGTCACCTGGTCTGGACTCGCTGCTGCCTGTGACACCAGAAGATGAAAGCTACATAGAGAAGATGTCCAGGGGGGGGGCGGCACACTGGTCTTGTGGGCTAGTGTGAGACATAGTAGGAAGAACAGAGCCGTCACATGTGGAACAAGGAGAGAGGAGATGAGCTAAGGGCCTGGACACCGTGAGCACTGCGATGAATGACATTCTCACTGCTGAATATTGTTGTAACGTCACACATCTTCATACCAACAGTCATGTGATGCAGGGGGACATGGGACAGAAGTCATGATGGTCCTGAGATGCTTTTATAAAAAGTGTGTATAAACACTGATGGTCTTCTACAGCTATAGCTGCACCCACCAGATTGCAGACACAGTGGATAAGATAGGATTGTTATGAGGAATCAAACATGTCACTGGCCACAAGTGTCTTTTTGACCCTCACACCCTCCTATTTATTGTTCTTCATTTGAACTTTTATTGTTTTTTTTCTGTCTTTCTGTCTGTGGAAAGCATATCTCAAGAACCCTTGATCTTAATGACGATCTTCACATAAGCCAAGTGTAATTATAGTCACGATGGACACAATATACGTTCAATGTTACTAAAAATGTCTATAAACAGGAGCTTTTATTTTGAAAAGTTGTGAACTTGCATCTGACGATTGTGTCCGTTTTTAACTGACCTCTGAAACAGTTGACTGGCAATGTATGAAAAAATAACATGAGCTTAATAAATCATTCAAACTTATATATAAGCCACACATGTACACTAATTAGGCTAAATAGTTTCATTTTATGAAAAACATTGACTATAAAATTGCAGATAAACCAGGTAGGATGAACACAAACGTTTCTAACTTCATTCTGTACCATAGGCTGTTTATAAAAACCTCTGCACATAACGTCCAGCACACAAACAATAAAAAGTGACAGTTTATGGTAGAACGGAAATTCTGAAGCAGCTGTATTGCTCTAACACAGGACAAGAGAACAGAACATTGCAAACAGACAGTTTAGAACACACCCTGTCATCAATTCATATTTCAATGTTGTACAGCATCTACAGTACAATATTTTTCTTTAAAGGGTGAGAAGATAAGAGGCTTCAGCATATTTATGAAGTCATGGACACAAGTTTCATGGCTCAGCTTAAATACGAATATATGTTTGCATCAATATAAACAGAACTGTGTCAGAGATAAAGCCATTTTAACACAGCCCCAAAGTTGAGGGGTTCAGAAGTAACTGAACACATGAAGTCAAATAAAATCATTTTATTTGATATGTTGTGGAAAATCCTCTCCAGTCCATGACAGTGTGAACTCTGTGACCCACAAACATCCTCAGACACTCAGTGTCTTCCCCACTGATGCGCTCCTCACTGCAGCCTCCCTCAGCTCTGGTTCTTTCAGTCATAAAGGTTTTTTCTTCTTCACCATGCAAAATATTTTCCAGTTGTCTTCAACTCTACACACACACACACACACACACACACACACACACACACACACATATTTATGAATATATAAATAAATATATATATATATTTATATAGCTGTGTAGTTTATATATTATATTATACATACAATCTTGGTTTTGGGAGTAGGGGGTGATATATATTGTTTTTATTAAAATGATAATAATAACATAATAATAATATAATACAATCAATCTTCTTCATCAGCAGATGGAGACAGGAATGCAGCTTATCGTATTTTGTCAACACAGACTCAAAAATAGACAAATGTGAGCTTCACCAATTCCAAAACAACTGCCAATTCCACCTGCTGATAAAGATCAATCTTCAATGTGACAATAGAAAGCTCAAGAACAGCCACTAAATAGACCTTGTGGTTCGACTCTGAGTCTCAGATATTTCACCTCATCATCACACTCTTCATCAGCCTGGTGAGAATCAGATGCTGTCTTCATCACAGAGATTGTACTGTATTCACCCTCCTCCCTCTCAGTCTACTGTAGATTAGTGAGATCATGTGACGCCAACCTTGTGACCTCTCTGGCTCAGCAGATAGCTAACTAACCATTCTGAGAGAAACAATGGGCAGGGGCCAAAGCCACCACTCCAAATGTATCATGCCACTGGCACAAATGTCTCAGAGGTAAGCTTGAGCTACAGCAAGAAGAAAACCATATCTAATCCGAACAAAACTTCCTCAAGGCGAGCTGATGAAAAGCTTGAAGAGGAAGCTCAAGAACAATTAAGAAAACACATGCAAATAGAACAAACACGTGCAAATTAAGAAAATAACTTCTCTCAATCACCACAGATACAGGTTTTTAGAGAGATAGAGAGGGAAATACAACTCCTCAGTTGTTGGTGCTTTTGTTGCATCGAACCTGATTCACTGGGGAAAACAATTGAATCTCGTCTTCTGGCAATGGGTAAAGAGTCAATTACCTTTTTTGTGGATATACCTGCTTTAAAAAACCTTGTGGATACTCGCTAATTTTCATATAAAAGAGCTGTAACATTACTTGATAATACAAAAGGTCTATTGAATTATGTATTGAGCAAAATTAGAATTAGAGTGGTGATGGACTATCAGGTCAATGATGAAGAATGGTTTGCCTACGGGGTGCAGGCAGACACGCTGCTGCCGTATACTTGTATTCAAGCAGGTTTTAATATCAGGAGTTTTCTGAATGATACACAGAGCTTATTCTTTTGAGCCTGCATTAGAAACCTTAAGAAAAAGTTCCTCTCTTATGTCTGAACCTTCTCGAGGTGCAAGTGTGGTCAAAGAAAGTGGGTCTCTAAAATGATCAGCAGCTGGGTCAGAGTATGGGAGTACCTTTGGCCCAGATCTACATAGAGTGATGGGTGTTCTGCTGTTTGCGGAGGCATCATGGAATTGTGATGATATGGTGAGACCCCACCACACATTTTCAATCCACCATCATAACAGCAGCTTACCCTTTGGACTGCGCAGCGACCGGCCATGGGTCAGGAGTTTAAGCTTCCCAGTAGCTGTGGTGCTGG